TAACTATGAGCAAATTTTGTTCAAACCATCGGCATATTGAAACTCGGGGCTATTCTCATACTCGCACATATCCAAAGCGATCTCACAGCTCTCTTTCACGACGCGTTGATCATCCTCCGCATAACGGTTTAATATAGCAATACATTCCTCTGTAGCGATTGCACCTAAAGCCTCAGCACACTCATGACGTACCATTTCATTCTCGTTTTGATCTTCTAAATTATTTTTCAGGTATGGAATACTACTTGGCTCTTGTATTTGGCCTAATACAAATGCTACCTCATGTCGAAATAACGCCGAGGAATCTTTCAAGCCCTCGGCAATGGCTAAAACACTTTCAGTGGTTCGCAGGTTACGAAGACTGAACATAGCGCGATAACGTTCAAATAAACTCTTCTTTGGATTTAAGTAAATTGCTTTCAATTCATTTACTGTTTTCATGCCAGCCGCTGGAGGTGAGGGATCAACTGATGCATAGGGATTATTATCATCTACTTGTTGACCACTTTGTATCCAGCGCACACGATCGAGCGCAATTGAACATGTCTCTGCGACTTCCACTATAGGATCCTCTTTGTACTGTTCTAATATCGGTATGACATCAGGTACACCGATGGCGCCAAGTGCTTCACCGGCTTCGTGGCGAACCATTGGCTCCTGCGTCGTATCAGCAAGAACATTAGTCAAGACATTTATAGCTTTCCTGTCCTGCATTTGTCCCAGGCAGTAGGCCAATTCGTGCTTTAGCAATGCTGAGTCATCCGCGAAACCCCGGCTGATTTCTTCAATAGCTTCGGCGCCACCAAGATTCTTCAATGTAAATAAAGCACGAAAACGCTCCTTAAGTGGTCTATCTTTACTATTCAAAACAGCTCCTATAGACTTTATTTGATCCTGGGTAACCATGTTTACTTCGATTAATATAAAACTATTAGTGAAATATTAATTTTTATTACAAAAAAATAAATATCAATGAACGTGCTGGACGATGTTTACGTTTTTAGAACCTAAATGACATTTCCCAATGCGGCACTAGAGATGGGAAAAACATCGATGTTGACATCGATGTATCGATGTTTTGAAAAAACCAAACACATCGATCTTTTACTCTTCAACATCAATTTTTAAACTTTCTTACCGTCTCTAAGTCTAGGTTCAGACAGAGAAACTTTTGTCGCAGCAGCTCGTTACTTGTGGGAGAGGAAGTGGCGAGGAAGGGGAAGGGCACTAACTAATTCTAGTTGGCCGTTCACGGCTGACAACAACAATTGTGTACAAAAGAATTTCTCTGTGTGAACGCGAAGTGCAACACCAAAACATAAATTGCTGGAAATAGTAACAAAAGTTTCTCTGTGTGAACCTAATCTAACTATTCTGCACTGGTAACAAAAATTTTTAACCGGTCTGTCATTTTTTAAACCCTTTTCGCATTCTGTGTACTCCTGTAACCGGTAAATTTTATTGCTCGCTCATAAGCTGGTAACAAAGTTTTGCCCCGTGAAATATGCAATACCAGAACTGTCGCAAATCTCCATAGCTGAATTACCAAGGCCGATATAATACATTCGTTTCACCATTCTGAATTGCAGAATATTTTTACTGCATTTCCAACGTACATGTGTGCTCGTCGTTTGTGGGGCGGTTCATGAGCATGTTCGCCAAACATCAAAAACATGTTGATTTTCAGTGAGCATGCTTTGTTATTTTCTTTTGTTAACTGTGATAAATCGTTTGTTCGTCGTGTGGTCATCCCTAAAACTAGCGTTAGCACTTCATTATTATAATTATTTTTATATTGCAATCGATTTTTATATTTTTAACGTTTGTTCGTTTGCCACACAGTAATAATTAATTTTTAAATTTTTACTTTACGTTAAACATCTCGTTTGATATACATATTGCGTGAATATGTGTATGATATTTGTGGAAAAAGAGACTCAATAAAAATATATGACAAAAAATTTGTTTTTATGGGTTTTTTCCATACATAGTCCATAATATATATTTTTTTAATGTATATTTGATTTTCTTTTATTTCCTATATTTTCTTTTGATTATTAATATTTTGATAGAAATTATCAAATATCGGGAACGGTTTAGTTATTCGTAGAACGATTTGTGGAGTTGACAGAGTCATATGAAGCGTTGCTTCCCTACATACAAGTATAATATAAATAAATTTAAGTAACACATAGATAAAAAAACACGTTAGGCAAAAGCTCGCGCACATGTTCGTCTTGGGTGGCCAGTGTAACGTGCAAAATGGACTTGTAAGTGCAACCCTGTTTTCATTCAGCAGTGCTACCAACCTAAAACTCTGTTGAATTTTTCAAATCCATTTTTTGGGGCAATTTTAACGATGAAATAAAAGCGTTGTAATAGGCACGTACCTCAAGGCATTTTGTAAAGCCTATGTATTTAGCACGGAAATGGATTTGTCCTTGCAAATTTAATATAAATTAAACGTTATTTTTTGGAATTCTTAAAAAATACCGACGCATTCAAACTTCGACGATGACACCACTCTTGAAAATGCAACACTGAGTAGGCATTGTGGTCAACATCTATTCGCTGAAAAGAAACGAGTAAAAAGCTACACGAATGCGCGGCGTTACGTTGTGAAGTGGAAAATTAATTTCGTGAAATTTACATGTTTTTGTGTATAATTGATAGAAAATTTTATCAAAAAAGTGAAAACGATACATAAAAGTTGCGTAAACAATTAAGATATATTAAAAGTTCTAAGTAATTTTTGCAAAAACATTGTGGAAAAAAAGCGCTCCGGAATCGGAAAATTCGTCGTTTGCGTCGTGAATCACATACTCTGAATATAATAGAAAGCGAAAAGTGAATCTTTTTACAAGTATAGAATATTGTGTATTGAATTTAATATAAGAATTTCTTAAACAATACAAATTAGAACAATGTCTGAGGTTGAGAATATTAGTGAAATCCAGCAGAATACTGTACCAGTCGAACAGACCCTAGCAGAGGTAGAGACAGCGAGTACTCCAGTGTCGGCTGAGACAGAGACGCCAGCTGCGACTGAAAAGCAAGTGGTCAACAACAGCATTGAAGCTGAATCTGGTGCCGGCGATGCGGATGCGGGCACGAGTGCTGCGGAGGAGGCCAAAGCGGCGGAATCTTCACCAAAAGTGGAAAGCACAAAGAAGACACCCGTAAGTATGGCAGCCATTTGGTGCATTTTCCCTTCTGAATGTACATATTTGTATGCGGTGCTTTCTGCTCACGAGTTAACAAGCGGGGGGGATTGATAATTAACGCTGTAATGCGATAAAATCTCACCTAGCATGTATACTGCGCAAAGTTCTATACAGGGGCGAATCATCTGGAAAATTGGTTTCACAATTGTGAATAATCTGAACTTTTTCAGTACATGCAAATATATGTATGTATGGCCAAAAACATGCCAATATATTTTTCTTCGTGGCATAAAAAGCGCGCGTTTTTACCCCGCTAATTAAAAATTTTCCATACAAATACATGTTTATATTTGAGGCAATGTCTTGTGTTGCCACTTCCTTCGGCGTCGTGCTCTGCTGGGGCACATGGAGCTCATTAGTTTATGCAGTAGCAGCGTAGTCTTGGCTTTTTTGCATACTATTTATTTTTATTTCAATATGTTTTTTTATATTCCTGCTGCAATTTTCTCTACCGCACGTTGCGCGCGGTGTCGTAAAAGTTTCACGGTAGTTGATTTGTTCCATTTTCGATTTGTGTATATCGCTGTTTGCACTCGCTACATTGATCACTCGTCGCAATTGGCGTCGTGTTGAAACAGTGCGCTGTGGCTCGCTGCTTGCGCGAACGTTTTATGTATTTGTTGTGTTTTTGAGGTTTGCTGTACTTGATGACTATTTGTTCTCTCTCTTTTAGATTTGCGCGCGCTACAAATTTTGTTCGGCAGTAATTGCTTTTGCAAAGTTGTCCACACTCTTCTGTTGAATATATCGCACACCGTCTTCAAAAGAGTCACAACTCAAAATAATAAGTTTGTCAGAAAATGCGAAAAACTATTTCTTAGCACATGATAATCACACGAGCAAGAGCGGCTTTACCGTAGTTGTTTTTTAAACAAATTATAAAAAAATTTGCTTCAGCTTTTGCTGAAAGGTAAATAAAAGCCTAGCGTACATTTTTAGCACATAATCTCAAAAATGCCAAATTTTGAGTTGTGACTCTTTTGAAGACGATATGTACATAACGTCGTTTAAAGTACGAAACCGCGTATCGTCATTTTGCTCACACAGGCTCAATCCTTATATATTCGTTCTGAAATATCCTATCCAGAAATGCGATTGCTTTATGAAAAAAGACCCCCCTTTTGAAATATTTGCACAGCTGATTTTTTTTAGGAATTAAATTACTCCCAATTACAGATTACAAGGAATTGTAATTAGGAATAGGAATCAATTCCTTCAGTCCACAGCAAAGGAATCGATCATATTATATGAGTGTTTTTATTCACAACAAAATAATTTATTCAACTTCACTTACGCGGTTTTGCATTATCTAGATACGCGGTTCTGCATTTTGTTGATACGCGGTCTTGTACTTTAAACTACGATATGTATGTTTGTATGCATGCATGCGAATATGTTTAAAATGTTTTGTTTGTTTCGCTACCTTTTGTTCTTTCCACGCGACCCTTCTAAAGCAAAATGTCAAATATGTACCTATAAAGGCAAATTGTTGTTAGTGATATATCTTATCTTTAGATTACGCATGTAGGTTTTGTTTGTTTTATTTTTGTCTTTCTCTGGCACAATGTTATACCAAGTTATGTGCCGGCACATCCCAGGTCGTAAATGTTTTATTTTATTTTTTTTTTTTTTTCAATGGTCTTTTCAGACTATTTCTAACAACTTGTTTGCATTTGATAAGATGAAACGTCACACATATATGTGATTTATTTTGCTTTGTTATATGTGCATCTGTACATACCTACGAAATTGTTGGCTTTTAATCAATAAAATGTGAGCATAACTATTTTCTCATTATTCATAGGTAAAACGCACTCCTTCAAAGCGAATGTCATTCATAGAACGAGCACAAAAGGAAAGCGAGGAACTTGTTAAGAATATGGGTGGCAGTTTGGAGTTGGAGGGTGGACGACGAACCCGCTCAAGCGCACGTGGTACACCAACACGAGCTACAGCTGTTTCAACTCCGCCACCCACCAAAAAGGCACGTACTTCGCCGGCTACTGCCAGCAGCACTCCATCTCGAGTTCGTGGTCGTGGTCGAAAAATAGACATATCAGAAGATTTAGAAGAGGCTAAAGGGTCAGCCGATATATCCTCGGCTAATACGCCTGAGAAGTCTAAAACGCCCAATAAGAAGCAAGTAAGTAAAGAAACTATATTTCAAAACAAAACAAATATTAATATTGAAAGTGATACTAACACATAATCATTTTTAGGAAGCTTCAGAAAAATCCAATGACAAAGAGGAAAATGTGTCCGAACCAACTGTTGAATCTACTCCTGCCGAGGACGCGGAAAAAGCCACCGATGATAAAAAAGAAGAAACCAAGGCATCTGTATCAAATGAGGAGAAGTCGGAAGATAAAACAGATACTAAAGCTGAACTAGAATCTATTTCCGAAGAAAAACTGAGCGATGATCAACCAGCCAGTAAAGAAGCTGAAAAATCGGCACCAGTAGCCCAGAAGGATAAAGAAACACCAATGGAAACAGATGATTCTTTGCCTGCGGATGAACCAATAGAGACGGCGTCCAGCGCCCCCGAGCCAACACCAGAAGAAGAACCGAAAGTTGAAAGTGTAACAGAGGGAACTGCAGAACCAGCCACCGAAGAATCAGCTCCAGTAACGGTGCCAAAACAACTTACTCCTGAACCAATGGAAGTCGATTCAAATTCAAAGAGTAGTGATGTCGAGCTAATTGAAACTGTGCCACCAGTTGCAGTTGAAAATTCAACTGAAGTTTCGGCACCGATCAACGTAGCAATAAAAACTGTTGCGCCGATTACTGAAATTCAATCGGTTCAGGAAACGAACATTGTTGAGATAAATCTCTCAGATTCGGAATCCGATACCAAGACCAACAATGTAGACAACAATGAAGACGCTAAATTGGAAGAAGCAGTCCAAGCGCCGACTGCTAGGGATATGGGCAATGCAGAATCAAACGCAAATGCGTTAAATACAGCAAATGAAATCGAAACTAACGCAAAAGCTGAAGTGACTATTGAAGTCCCTGTCGCCGTCGATCCCGCCGCTACAGAAAGCGGGGTCAATAATACCAATAATGATGATATTGCTAAACCACAAAATGATTTATGTAAATGATTTTTTATAAAATTGAATTGAATTATTAGTTAACTCTCGCCCTATTTTGTTACCACAGGTGTACCAAAAGTCGTATCGCCATCGATAAATAATGCAAATAATGATGGAACTGTAACAACGATTTTGTAAATGCGACATAAATCAACGTCTATTGCTATTGCTACAATAGTCAACAGTTATAATGCCACGTCGTGCAACAACAAATGCAGTTAAAACAACCACAATATGGACACAAATTCAACAAAATTTAAAATTGTAACTGGAAGGATTATCCAGAGAAGTAAGAAGTTGCCTGGTTGGCAAGCCATTTTTATGCACGAATGTCTACCACACAACCCGCCTGAAATAATTAAATTTAATAGACGTTTAGTTTTATTTCTATTTCTATTTTCATTTTATTTTTTTAGATCTTTTCTCTATTTTTCATGGCAAATATTCAATTAACCAAATTGAAGGCCCTTCAACGGATTAGAGTTAATACGTAGTATGTATGTCACGCTACACATTTTATTTTTTTTCTAATTGGACAACAGAAAACAAAAAAAAAAATGTATAATAATATATTATATATATGATTATATGCAAAGCTAAACAATACAACTATTTTAGATGATAATGACCATGCAAAACAATAAACAAAAAACCTAAACAATCATTTATTGTTTTTATTGCAAATTCTACTAAATAATGCAGTACGTTTTATATAAAAAAAAAGAAAAATAATCAGTAAAAAAGAAACTACAAATGTAACAATTGACAGATGTGCGTGCGTGTGTGTGGGAAATTTTATATAATTAAAATTTACTGCAAAAAATTGAATTTCAACTTAAATAAAATATAAGTAATGCTGTATATTAAAGCGATTAAATATCAAGAGCAATAATATAATAAAATTAGACTAACATTAATTATAAAATTAAATTTTGGAGACAAAGATATTAAAAATATTCGAAAACTTAAAAAAAAAGAATGTATGCACTCGCCATAAAGCCATTGTTTTAAAATTTTTTCAGTAGTCTTAAACAGAATTTCTAAAGAAAAAAAATATTGCCTGCTTTCCATTTAACAGTTTAGGTTTTACACGGCAAAACCTTGCCGGTTTAGGTTAGAATTGCATTTCTGAAAATAGGGGTTTTGAATTAAAATCACTGAATTTGCAGCAAAAAAACTATCAAATATTTATTTTTGTTTTTTTTTTCAAATTGCTCGTTTAATAATATAACGATGTATTTCAAAATTTCAATTTTGTGGAAAATCGCAATCAAAGTTTTATCAATTCACACAGTGGGTACACATATCTTCGTCATATTTGGGAAGTTAACAGATAACAATAATTTTGATTTACATCTCTATATTATTAAACGAGCGATATATCTAAATGTGCTTAGTTTTTTTTTTTACAGGAAGCAGTAAAGCGGACATTTTTCGACCTGCCAGCGGGTCGAACGGAAAATGACCTAACTTATTTACAGTTACATATTTTCGAATGCTTCACATACATATATAAGTGCTACATTATTTCCGAATTAAGTTTCCACAAAAAAAGCAGAAAATATTTCGTTCGACTCAATATGCATTATTAAAGGAATTATTATATTACTCCATGCACCGGTACACATTTGTTTTGGTCCCTTCTTCTTTTGCATGCTTTCATAATTGTATGCGTATAAAGATTCTCAATAAATATTTATCAGCAGCGCATAATGTTTTTTTTTTCTAAACATTGTATGTGTATAAGCATTAGTCTAATAATGTATGTAGAGTGTAATTAAAAGTAAAGAAACACCACTAAAATATCAATAACAAATTTCGTTGTCTTATATGGGATTTGGCGTTCTCACTTTTTCCAGAAATATGTCTTGTGTTACTTAACGGTATCAACAGCAACAAAACAAAAAAATATAAATATTAGTCTAGCTGTAAACAAAACCTATCATTTAAGATATCTGTACAATTTAATTATACGTATACACTATATATACATTTCTTTCTTTTGTAAATAAAGAATTTAAATATACAAAAGAGACAAAACAAAAAACAACTATGAGCGGTTAAAATTTTTTGATCGTTTGGCGTGTGCGTACATATTTTGCATTGACCATTTAATAGAGTAAAGCACAAACATTGAATGGAATACATTTAATGCTCCAGTCAAGAGAGACGAAGTTTGGCAGCAATAAAATAATAATACGCCAAAAACTTGAAACTTCATTCGACAACCTTCTATACTCCAGATACGAATACATATGTACTGGTTCAAAGATTGTTAGCAAATAAGGAAACGCTGGTAGGTACATATCCACATCATCAATGCCAAAGGTCCTACTTGATAAATTTTAAATTTATAAAAGAAAAAAATTAGAAAGTCGCATAAGTAATACCTTAAAAGGCTGTTCCGATGACGCTTATAAATGTTCACAAACTGGTAAAGTGTATCTAGCGACAGGCAAATAATGACATCAACTAGTGTTCGTGCAGTAGTTGAAATTCAAGCGATATAATTATGGTAAGTTGGGGTCAAGTGAACTGAACATAGCAGGTCCGTATATCATAATCTTCAAATTTGTTTCCCCTTGTCTGTTTATCATCTTTATACTTTCTCTATACTTGCCTTTATACTTTTTTTTTTATCTACATACATATTCTACTTCGCCCTTAGCCTTATATTAATACACCCTTATTCTAAAAAAGTCACAAAAGTCGGTGCATCACTATTGTGATTTTTACTGTTTACTTTCACAAAATTTAGATTGGTTACGTTAAGTTTCGCATGCTCAATTATTAGCAACATCCATTTAACCGAATTTTTCAGTGAGAGCCGTAAGTTATGTTAAGTTGCCATAATCAGACCATAAGAAAGTGCAAGTCTCAAGTCGAGTGTTTTTTTTTTTATATAAAAAAATAAATTTTGATCAATTTGATGAGTTTTTTCAGCCCTTCTTCGGTAAGCTTCTCAGAATGGCTTCACTTTAAAGAGGGTCTACCTTAATTATCTTCTGGGAACAATGTGATCGTTTACCCCTTCTTTTTCTTGTTTAAAGTCCATAAGTGAACGGATATACAAATCTTCCGGTTTGTAAAATGTGTATTTTAGTATGTTTATTGTATTTCTATATAATTTACAAAGATTTAAATTTAGTTATTTTTCTCCGCTGCATATTTATAATGTAGTTCTTTGCAATCATCTTCCGATATTTTAATCCAACCATCCTCTTTCAAATGGTACACGCGAACAATACCGCCAGAATAAGCATCCCTGAATGTGGCATGGTAAATCGCACGGCGACCTAAATCGTATGCCTCTTCATCTTCCAGCTCATACTTATAACCAGAATCGAGAACACCGTATGCAAATATCGAACCACTTCCAACGGAAAATACATTACCCGGTGAACGTGATCCTTCCGAATCGACATAGTAGAGACCGGCACCTTTATCATCATAACCGGCCAACATCATGCCCATGCTCAACCCCATTCCTTTGTATTCGTGTGCAATGTTCGCCATGATTTTGCTTGCCGCAGCAACCGAGATGTGTTTTTTATTTCGCAACTCATGCAAACGACACTCCTTCGAAAGTACGCGATCCCAATAAACACAGTCGGCAGCACCGCCAGCTAATGTACCCAGCAAATATTTATTAATTTCTACAATCTTTTTCATTTCCTGTGAACCAATAAATTGGCCGCCTGTTGCGCGAGAATCGACTGCCAAAATAACACCGCCCTTGTATTTGAATCCCAAGGTGGTGGTACCGTGGTCATAATCAATTTTTATGCCAGTTTTGGCACCTGCAGCATGCATTGCTTTAATATCGACAGGCTGTGAGGGCGAAAAACAAAAAAGTGCAAAATTAAGTTATCCATAATTCAATATCAACTCCTCGGATACTCACGCCTTTAGACGGTGGTGCTAAAAGACAATAGGGATTACTAAGGTTATATGCCTGTTCCATCAAACCCAACGAATTATTGTTTGTTTGCATATATGGAGCGTTTGCAACGCCAGCAATTTCAGCTAAAGCCATTATTATTAAGGTTAAAATAAATTCCTTTTTTCAGCAGATGACAAGCACAATTTGACC